AAGATGTGATAGTGGCTTAATGCTAACATAAGAGCATTATATTAAGAGGCTACTTAAAAGGTTTGGACATTTTGATGTCAAACTTGTGAATACTCCTTATGATAGCAATATTCAACTAAAGAAAAATAGAGGTGATAGTATAGCTCAGTTTGAGTATGCACAGATTATTGGGAGTTTGATGCATTTGATGAATTATACTCGACTAGATATAGCTTATGATGTATGTAGACTAAGCAGATATACACAAAGTCCCAATAGAGATCATTGGACTTCCTTGAGTAGGGTGATGAAATATTTGAAAAGTACCATGAACTATAATATTTTATATAATGGATTTTTCACTGTATTAGAAAGATACAGTGATGCTAATTGGATCTCAGATTCAGATGAGATGAAATCCATGAATGGTTATGTATTCACCCTTGGTGGAGGTGCTATAACTTGAAAATCAGCCAAACAAACAATAATTGCTAAATCTACAATGAAGTTAGAATTTGTAGCTTTAGAGTTGGCTCGTAATGAGGACTGAGTGATTGAGAAACCTTTTAGCAGCTATTTCGTTGGGAATGAAACTAACACTTTCTGTGTCTATGCATTGTGATTGCCAAGCAGCAATAACCATTGCAAAGAATAAAACTTTCAATGGTAAAAATAGACACATTTGTTTGAGACATGATGTAGTAAAGCAGCTGTTTAAAAATGGAATTATATCCATTAATTATATGAAGTCAGCGCTGGATTTGGCTGATCCTCTGACTAAATCCTTGGGAAGAAAGCTAATTAATGCTACCTCGAGGGGAATGAGACTTAAGCCAAATGAAGAAATCAACAAATAATAGTATCCCAACTTATGTGATTGGAGATCCCATGAATTAGGTTCATATGGGTAATAACAAGTTATTTGTTAATAAATTAATGCACTATTGAAATTATTATCCCTTCTATGGTGCGAGTAGTGCAAAACTGCAATACAAGAGAGGTTGAGCTAAACTCTTCATGCATTCTATATCCCTTATGGGTAGTGTATTATACTGCAGTATACACTTGATGGAATCAACCTATATAAGTGTGGAGTGAGGCCGCTCCTTTGAGAGTTATGGCAAATTCTCTAGAGCACTTATAAATAACCAAGCACGCACATGGCCTATTAGCGCAAAATCGCGTTGAACAGTAGAAATTGTGGGGGTGTAATGTGATTGATGAAAACTACATTTCACATAAAGAATTTTGATTCATATAAGTTACAAACTTCACCAAAATTCCGTGACTTACGTTTCATTCTTTCTAGAGGTGGTTTAGAGCTTAAAAAGCACCAGTCACAATGCATTACACAAATGAAATTTGACCCAGTAAAACTTCTTATAAAACCTTATGAAATATGTGGGGGATTGTTCAAAATAGTGTATTTCATAAGGTTCTAACATCCCACATTGTCAAGATACTTAAAAAGAGAAGGTCTTATATATGAAAACACACTATGAGCTTGTTGCAAGCAAGGAAAACGGAGTGTGCTCGCGCGCACATAAGGTTGGGCCAAACCTTGAGAAATTTTAGATTTTCCCCTCTTTGCGAGCGAATATACACGTGGGCTGTGCTCAAGTGAACTTTTGTACTTTGACATTAATTTTTTAAAGTTTTCAACCTTGATTGAATCATACTAAAACTCTACTTACCTTACCTTACCTGGTTATGCTCCAACGTTTATCTGACTCAGTAAATAAGCTGACGCTGACTAGGTTTTTCTCTAACTCCCTAAGTTTTTTTTTCTCAATTCTCTAATCTGGTTCAACATGCACCTTATTTGGTGCAACGTTCACCTCGCTCCATGCCTATAAATACAGCCTCACACCTTCACTCTCAACACACACCAAAAGC